TATAATTCTTAGATTTACCAATGTGGATGCACTTAACTAGTGGGTATATTAGTTATTAGTTTATTCATTCTAGTTGCTGTATCCCACTATATGAATAAGTCATAATTCATCTATTTTATGTTCTCCAAAAATATGAAGCAAAAGTTCTATCCTATCACTCTTTAATACTGTCAAAGGCACACCGGATTAGAAACTATATTCTGGAATTACTTTGATGCTCACCTTTTCTGCTACTTCTCGCACAGACTGAACACTTGTTCCATAAAGATGATTATTATACTGGCCAGCTTCAATGAATTTATGCTCCTGGATATCTTTTTCCATCTGCTCTCTTGAAGTCACAAAATGATAATCTCTGCCATCTACCTCATAATCTCGTTTTGGTCTGGTTGTATCTTTAATAGAAAAAGAGCTTAGGGAGGTGTTTAATATTAAAAACACAATAAATCCATTTTTTATTTAAAATCATTACTTTGTAAACTTTAACACAACAGACATTAATTTAAATTGGAAAAAATAAAATAATACAGAGGGCAGAGAAATAATTGATAAAATAACTACATTAAAAATAAAAATAAGTAAAAATACATTAAAAATAATTGTGTTTACTTTTATTACACAGTGACAGACAATGTTAGAACAATAATTAAGAGTTTTATTTTGGTTACTCACGAGGAACACAGGATCCAAATTTGTCAGGAAATTCTGATATCAAGTCATCGTTTATTCTGTCTTTCATAGGTCCCAATATGATAACTGGTCGAGTATAATTAACTACAAAGACAAACTACATGTTAAAAAGAATAAACACTCCACAAACATTAATGTATTTTATTTCAACAGAGACCAAAAATATCCTGAATTGTCCTGAAAAGTATTTTTCTTCTTTTACTATACCACTGTACCATCAACCAATAATTTGCCATTTCATAAACCTTTATTAAGATCAATCAACAAATACAGGAAAAAGTGCTCACCATCTCTAGCAATCAGAGAAAGGTAAATTAAAATTACTCTAAGATACCATCTCACTTCAGTAAGAATAGCAGCCATTATGAAGTCAAACAACAACAAGTGCTGGCGAGGATGCGGGGGGCGGGGGGGGAAGGGGGGGGAAGGTACACTCATACATTGCTGGTGGGACTGCAAATTGGTGCAGCCAATTTGGAAAGCAGTATGGAAATTCCTTGGAAAGCTGGGAATGGAACCACCATTTGATCCAGCTATTCCTTTTCTCAGACTATACCAAAAAGACTTAAAAACAGCATACTACAGGGACATAGCCACATCAATGTTTACAGTAGCACAATTCACAATAGCTACACTGTGGAGCCAACCCAGATGCCCTTCAATGAATGAACGGATTAAAAAAATGCGGCATTTATACACAATGGAATATTACTCAGCACTAAAAAATAACAAGATCATGGCATTTGCAGGGAAATGGATGGCATCAGAGCATATTATGCTAAGTGAAGTTAGCCAATCCCTAAAAAACAAAGGCTGAATGTCTTCTCTGATATAAGGGGGATGACTCAAAATGGGGTAGGGAGGAAGAGCATGAGAAGAAGATTACCACTAAATAGGGAAGAGAGGTGGGAGGGAAAGGGAGGGAGAAGGGGAATTGCACGGAAGATGGAGGGAGACCCTTATGGTTATACAGAATACATGTATGACGATGTGAGGGAAAAAAAAAAAAGAACTGTGTCACATTAGATTGGGTAGAGAGAAGTGGTAGGAGGGGAGGGGAGGGGAAGGGAAGAGGGAAAAGGAAGGACAGCAGAATAAAATAGACATTATTACTGCTGTGGGTATATATGTGACTGTATGACCAATGTGATTCTGCAATCTGGACACTCAGAAAAATGAGAAATTATACCCCATCTGATTCAAATGTATGATATGTCAAGATCATTGTACTGTCATGTGTAACTAATTAAAATTTTAAAAAAACCTGAAAAAAAAAACTCTTCAACTTGACTCAATTTCCTGCTATAAGTCAACCAAATTAAATTTAGCATTTTTAGGAGATGTTTCCATATATTGCTAATATTATGTCATTATAAATGAGGAAAAAGTGTTTTACTGATTTTTAAAACCCTATTAATTTTTGTGGTACTGGGGATTGACTCTAGGGGTGCTCTACCACTGACCTACATCTTTAGCCTCCTTTAAATTTTTAATTTTGAGACAGGGTCCCGATAAATTGCCAAGGCTGGCTTTGAACTTATGATCCTCCTATCTCAGGCTCCCGAGTAGATGGGACTATAGACACGTGCAACTGTGCCTGGCTACTGATGGTTTTTGAAGCAGAAATTGTAAGGAAGCAGAGCAAAGAAGGGCAAAACAGAAATTGAGTGTACAAAGTGATGTAATCACAGTAGTGATTTAGAAAGATTATCTAACAGAATGTATATAATAGGTTGTAAGGAGTGATTAGAGAATCAGAACTACTATTGTGGTAGGAGGGATGAAAAGGAAATTGTTAGTAAGAAAGATATAACAGAAGTAGAATAAATAGGGACTAGAACTTGACTGGATGAGGAAGATAAACAATAGAGAAGTCAAAGATTGCTTCTAAGATTAATAAAAAAATGCTTATTGAAAGGACAGTGATGCTATTATGAATGGTGGAAGGTTGCTTAGGAAGTAAAATGGTAATATAAATCATATTTATAATAAACTTTATACTATTTCTAATTTACTGAGTTAACCATGTTTCCTAAAATTCATGTAATAAATTTCTACACATATCCATATAGTAAAAATGTACTAAATGTACTAAAATGTACATTTAAAAATGTATGAAAATTCTAATATAACAATTTTTTAAGGCATGAGACAGAACTGTTTTCCAAATTAAGAAATTAAAAAAAAATAAGACTATAAGACATCAATGGGCTTTACAAACCTTCTTGTTGATTCACTGGTTCATAAGACAACACATATTCTTCTTGACCACCTATCAGAAATTAAAGCACAGATAAGAAAATTTGGAATGATAACTTGCTAATTTAATTCTTTATAGATACCATATGAATTATTAAAACTTTCTTGAAAAAATGGCAAAGATGTAGAAAAAGGTACTTTATATCATATCTTAACTGTAAGATTTAGTTGAAAATTGACAAATTATTAGGTCATAAAAACAAGTTTGATAAATATAAAACAAAATATAAATGTGCTATTTATTCAAGGACTATCTTTGTTATTCTACTATTAAAAATGTGCTCCTTTTCTGGGTCTACCCATTATAATATTTAAGAGTGCATTTTATTTTAAAAATAATTACAACTATCATACAATTAAAAATTTTGAATACAACAGTAAAACTGTCATTATTTCACTGATGAAAAAATTCACTGATTATTCTACTTTTCAATTTCTTTACTTATTTATTTTTTGATGTTGGAGATTGAACCTGGGGCTTCATACATGCTAGCTCTACTTCTAAGCTAAATTGCCCACCCTTAATTCAAAGTTGAAAAACATCAGTTAAAGTGAGTTAAAGAATAACTTTAGATAACACTAAATACATTCCTTCCAACAAAATACATTTTCCCTTGATCTTAAAACCACATTAGAAATTAAAGCTTCTGAAAGTTAAATTAAAGGTTTAGCTCTTAGGAAATATATTAAATAAAAGAGCCTGCAATTAATATCTGAATTCAGTGAAAAGAAAAAGTTTCTAACAAAAACACACATATAGAAAACAAACCAGAATCCAAGCATTATTAACAAAAGCAACAAAAATTGGTTAATGTATTTGAAGATTTTCTTTTTATCAAGATTCGATAAAAACTTTATCATTAATTTTGTCATTGACTTATACTGTGCATCTACAGTTATAGGTCTTTTAAGTTCACATACTGGGTTAATATTCTTTACTACTTTAAAATGCATTTTTTGTTTTAATTTCATTATTATAATATATTAAACAGATATTTTATAAGCTGAATTATAAAAAACTAGATATAAAACATAGTTTACATACTAGCAAAAACATGCAATTTGAATATTCCACACCTTAATAATTCATGCAAATGGTGAAAGAGACAGTATATACTTTCATTACCTCTTTTGAGTCTAGAAAGCCACTTATTATTCTATAGTGGGTTCCAGTTATAAGTTAATACAATGCTGAAATATAAGAAATCACATGCCCACAATATAAAGAAAAAATATTAAGTAACTCTTACATAGAAAAAAATAGTCAATTAAATAAATGAGGGTTAAAAGTATATATTGTCAACATGAAAAAATACTGGGGATATATATTAACAGGATAGACCTTTAGAGCAGCCATACTCATCTGTAATCAAGATTACTTTCATGTTAGAGAGCAGTTAAAAAAAAAAAAAGAAGTTAAAAAAGCAATTTTAATTTTTAAGGTGCTACAACTGGTAATTTATGTACTTTCCCCTCCTCCCATGCCCCAATCTGTTTAAAAACTTGACATACTTCTAAAGTTCACTTAATAATACCAAGAATATACTACAAAACACAAGAAAGAAAACAGTATTACTTTTTAAGCAGTGGTTTAAAAATTTTCCTTTCTTACTTCTTACGTTCACCATACAGGTGGTGATAAATAATGACTAGACCCAGATAACTCCTGGTGGTGAGGCAGAGTAAGAAAGGAAATAAAGTTGGTTATGATTTAGCATTACTAAAAAAACATTATTTTAAATCCCATGTTAAAAAGACAATTACTAAACAAAATATCAAAATACAAGTTAATGTCCCAATTAACCAGATGAAAATTTACTTTTTTATATTAAAACTTTAGAAATTAATTTAATGTATACACTGAATATTCCTTATCCCAAATGCTTGTTTCAGATTTTAAGGTTTTTTTTTTTATTTTGAAATATTTGCATAGAAGTTACAAGCTGAGTATCCTTAATTTGAAAACCTGAAATCCAAAATGCTCCAGAGTCATAAAGTTTTTGATTATTACATTGGTACTGAAAAGTTTCTTTCATTTTTGGATCAGAGATGCTGAACCTGTAGAATGATTTTATTTTTTCAAGTACATAATTTGTCTTGGCTTTTCCTGATTTTAAAATATTAAACATCTGATTTTCAGTTTATAGAAGACACTGTTAAGGAAAATGCTACCCAAAGAATGCGTAGTATTTCAGATAACAAAAGAACAAGTAATTTAAAACACTTACGGTAACTACTTTCACTATCGCTGGCATTAGAAGTTACATGCTCTGAAATTGCAGGACAATGAAAAAAATAAAGAAAACACAGTGTCATGAATATAAAAAACTGATAAAAGCAAATTATTAAAATAAAACATGATGACATTACAAAATGTTGAGATATAAAGTTTTAAAAAGTATTTTTGATTTTCTGAAGTTTAATTTTTTTCAAATAAACAAGAATCAGCAAGGGCAAATACCTGTAATTAAGGATAACACTATTTTTTATACAACACTTTACAAACAAAATCTATATAATTAATAGCAAGTAGAATATGACAAAGAAAGTATATTTGGCATCACTGAATTTAGTTTATGAAACAGTTAAGGACCAGGAAAGGAGACAAATTATATTTGAATAAATAGCTGGCCATATTAATGAAGAAATGTCTTTGTAATTTAAAAATAGATTTTGTTTTTCAGTATAGCCTCTTTCTTGTTGCTGAAGAGAAATGAAAATCTATATTTTTGAGATTATAAAAAGCATTTTAGACATCAAATTAAATGTCTCATAAAAAGTTAAAGGGAAGAGAATTCTACAGCTTGGGAATTACATTTTAAAATAGGCCAGTATTTCTTAGAAACTCCACCTTAATAAAATTAACAGTAGATGCTTTGTAAAACATTGAAAAAAATTTCATTCGAAACAAAAATATCTATTAAAAAATTGCCTGGGGGCTGGAGATGTGGCTCAAGCGGTAGTGCGCTCTCCTGACATGCGTGCAGCCCGGGTTCGATCTTCAGCACCACATACAAACAAAGATGTTGTGTCCACCGAAAAAACTAATAAATAAGTAAAATTCTCTCTCTCTCTCTCTCTCTCTCTTAAAAAAAAAAAAATTGCCTGATCTTTCCTCTTCAAAGTGACCCCGTTTCATAACTTCATTAAACAGGCACTCTTCTTATACATGTAAATGTAATCTTTCAATAAATATCTTCCTTCAATAAAGAAGAGACTAACTTTGTTTTTGGTACTAGAGATTGAACCCAGGGATATTATTAACACACATTAATAACACATTATTAACTCTATCCCTTTTCATTTTTTCTTTTAAGTCAGGGTTTTGTCAAGATGCTGAGGGTCTCACTAAATTTCCCTAGCTGGCCTTGAACTTTTAGATTCCTCAGCCAGCCTCCCTGAGTTGCTGGGATTACAGATGTGCAGCACTGTACCCACTCAAGACTAATAATTTTATTTATGTATGTGCTTTTTTGTATACTTTTATTTATAAAAGTATAAAAAAATTTTAATGAAAGGTAAACCTAAATTGCTGTTAGGGAAAGAAAATAAAAATTTAAGGGCAAGGAAAAAGTCCGAGGATAAATATTTGCTAGGCCATAACACCTACTAGGTAGGCTTCTTAAAATCAAATAGCACTATGGGCACATACAGAGAAATGGCAGATCCTCAAGATTTCAAGTTAAAACAACAACAACAACAACAACAACAAACAACAATTCTTGGTTTGAAAAAAAATGTTTTTGAATTGCTATCATAGTGAAAAGTAAGTCTATTATTCTAATTTACAAAAGACAAGTTGTAACTTTATCATGGTTACTGCAAGTAGAATTGACTAATATATGATAAGCACACGTAAAATGGTGTTTATTTTTCAGCTTACATTTAAAAATTTATTTTCATATTATTATAAAGACTTCAAAACAATTATTTAAAAGTGTACAATATTGGGTTGGTTCAGTGATCGAGTGCTTGACTAGTATATGTGAGGCACTGGGTTCAAGCCTCAGTAACATATAAAAATAAATTAATAAAATAAAGGTATTGTATCTGTCTACAAAAAAAACCTTTTAAAGGTTAAAGCTTTTAAATATTAGATTACATTGTATTTATTATTATTTAGACATTTTAGTATGTCTTAAACTGTTTTGTTTTTATAATTATCAACAATTATAAATGCTTTCATTTTATAACTTTTTACCTGTTCCCCCTCGCCCCTTTCTGGGGATTGAACCCAAGGGCACTAACCATTTAGCCACATCCCAGTGTGTTTTTTTTTTTTTTTAATTTTGAGACAGGGCCTCACTAAGTTGCTTAAGGACTCACTAAATTGCAGAGGTTGGTTTTGAACTCGCAATCCTCCTGTCTCAGTCTCCCAAGCCATGGGATTACAGGTGTGCGTAACTACACCTAGCTCTGTCCTATTTTCTTAAAATTCATTCCCAAAAGTAGGAATGTCACATTAAAAAAAGAAAAATCTTAGATTATAGACTATATAGTTTCTAATTTGTAAAAGAAAGAAAAATTAGTTATTGCAATGGAGTGGAGAGGGGGAAGTAAGAGTATTGAAGAAAAATTAATTGAGATAATAATTATGGAAGACAGGTAAATAAATACTTGTGGGGTTTATTTTTACTATTCTACCATTGAATGCATATGACATGTTATATAATAGAAATTTAAAAATACTATTATCTCTTATTCTATCTTTTTTATTTTGGATTCACCTACTCACCTGGAACTCTTTAAGATTGCCAAAAGCTATTCAATAATCAAAATCTGCAGGCTCTTTCAAATACTCTTTTATTTAGCTCCTTTATAATAAAACCTTGCTATTAAAAGTCTGGGCCTTGGGTTACCATCATCATAATCATGGTGTGAGAATTTGTTAGAAAGGTAACATAATTTTTCGTCCTTGACAATTAAAAATAAATTTTGGGTTCGGGATTTAGCTCAATGGAAGAGGGCTTTGCCTAGAAGCATGAATCCCTTGGTTCAATCCCAGCACTGCCAATACTAACAACAACAAAACAAACAAGCAAACAACAACAACAATAAAGAACCAGAAATAAAACAACAATATCAAAACTTCCTGAAGGCACTTTACCAAAGAAGGTATTCGAATGGCCAAAAAAATATAGAAAAAAGTCGTTCAAATTTACTTTAAAAATTTACTATTAGGGAAATGCAAATTAAAATGACAAGGAATATTTCTACCATGTACTAGAATGGCTAAAATGAAACAAAATAAAACAAATAAACATGCTAAAAACATAGACAAGGATATGTAGCAAATGAAATATACTGGAGATAGGCAAATTGGTAAAAATACTTTGGAAAACTACCCATTAAGGACTGGTTCCAGGACCTGGGAGAGGACCAAAATCTGAGGATGCAAAAGTCACTTCTATAAAATAGTGCAGTGTTTACACGTAATCTAGGCACACCCTCCCATATACTTTGTTTTTTGAGGGGTGCTGAGATAGATCCTGGGGTCTCTTGCAATGTAGGCAAATGCTGTACCACTGAGTTACATCCTCAGCATTCTCCCATAAACTTTAAATTAATGTTTGGATTACTTAATACCTAAAACACTGTAAATGCTATTTAATAAATAGTTGTTATACAGTATAATTTAGGGAATAATGAGAAAAAAATGTCTTTGCGTACACACATAACCATCACAGATCTACAATTACACAAGAAGATAGAAAGCAAATGATGCTCAAACAAGCACTAGAGAGACTGAAGATCTGTGAAATGGTAGGAGGCTTCAGAAGGTTATGCCCACATATCACCCCATTTGCATGGATTCAGTGTAATGTTTAGTAAACACAGCAAATTCAAGTTTTGTGTTTTGCCAATTTATGGAACCCCCCTCAATATTTTCAGCCCATGATTGGGTGAATACACAGATGTGGAGCCCATGGATACAGAAGGCTAACTATACCTATTACAGCTGGACACATGCATATGACTCAGCAATTCTGTCCTTTCCTACGAATGTCCGAAAGAAAGGCAATATGTAGGGTCACCAAAAGCCACGTACAAGAATGTTTGAAACAACTATTTGAAATAACCCCCAACATTTTATTTGCATATCTGAGCATATGTACACTTTCATATTACTTTTTTATTTATATATTAAGCATTTCCCATGTCATTTTCAGAATGATTTTCAATGGTTACATAAAACTACAAAGTATGGATAATTTATATTTCATTAACCATTTCCCCACTAAGTCATTTTAGGATAGTTTCAATTTTATTTTTTTGCTGTTATTTCTAAATAATGATAAACATTCAAATATAATAAGTATTTATCTCCATTGCTCATTATGTCCTTAGGATAATTCCCTGAAGAGAATTTAGTGGGTCAAAAGATGCTTTTCCAGAAAGATTATACCTATGTTAAAGAGAAGCCATTTCATAGAACCATCTACTTATCCCTGGAGTTTCCTTTATTCTGTTTATTGATTACTAGGAAACTTATTAAGCATTTTTATATATGCTTATTTAATTTGCTGATCTTTTTTTTTTTTGGTACCAGGAATTGAGCCCAGGGGATCTTAACCACTGAGCCACATGCCCAACCCCGCCCCCCTCCTTTTTTTTTTTTTTAAACTGTCACTTTATTTCATATAAAAGTTACACTGAGAGGAGAGTAGAGTCAAGTATACTTGATGTGCACATCTGCCCGCTCACGGGGTGCAGCCACCTGGTAATGATTCTGACTGATGCTCAGGATATACACGGTAAGAACCTCCCGCAGAAGCCCAGCGCCGTGTCCGGTCCAGACACAGATGTGACAGTCAATGTGCAAAACAATCTTTGCAGCTCATTGTCCTGGGTCACCCCTGCTGCACTGTTCCACTGGCTGTGACAGTTCACACCTCTGCAGTGACTCAGTCCCATGATCTGCCACATGGTCAGGACCAGCTCAGCAGTGCCCTCTAGTTTGCTTCCACAGCAGGAGATGCCCAGGGGAGGACCCAACACCTTTTAAAATTATTTTTTATTTAGAGGTAGGGTTTCTCTAAGTTGCTTAGGGTCTCGTTAAATTGCTGAGGCTGTCTTTGAACTCATGATCATCCTGCTCAGCTTCCTGAGTGCTGGAATAACAGGTGTGCACCACCACTCCTAGCTTTGCTTATCTTTTGAGCAATCTTGTTGCTATAGTTTGGATCTTCAGCTTCTCCAAAAGACCCACATTTTAAGGCTTGGTCCCAGTGTGACACTACTGGGAGGTGTAGAAACTTTCGGATGTGGGGCTCCATGGAGGTTTCAGATCAATGGGGGAGGGTATGACTTTGAAGGAGACTACAGTGCTTCAGATCCTACTTTCTTTTTTTGCTTCTCAGTTATCATGTAGTTTAGCAGCTTGCTCCACCATGCACTCCCCACCATGATGTGCTGCTTTGCCACAGGCCCCAAAATAAGAAGCCCAATCTATAATGGACCAGAACCTCCAAAACCGTGAGCCCAAATAATCTTTTTCTAAGTTGATCAATCAAGTATTTGTTAAATTAATGGGAAAGCTAACGTGTTTGTATTATCTTCTGTCTAGTTTTCTAATGGACAGTTAGGTCTGTTTCTTACTGATTCAAAATTTATAGTATAAGAATATCATCCCTTTAATATACATGATGAAATATATTCATATTTTCATTTTTTAATTTATGATATTTAAAATAACCACAAACATTTCAAATCCTCTAACCAAGTTTCCACCTTTCTACTTAAGTATTTCTTCCTGACAGTTTGCTCTCCCTGAATACTACATCATCAATCCCAAGCAATACGACTACGCTTATATTTTATTTAAAACACAAATAAGTCTGATTTTGGCATCTAAGAGCTGTGCAGAATTCTGCTAAAATAGGTCTTTAGAATGAGAAGAAAGGAAAGAGATATGTAACAGGAAAATTGTGTGCCTGAGAAGAGATTTTGAGGTGTTTGACAAAATGGGAAATTGTAAAAATGAAAAGATTGTCACAAATGCACCTTATATATCTTCTATTGGGCTAAATTTTCTATTTTGTCTCTGTTAAAGGAATCTTACCCAGTTTTATTGCCTTGAGCTCCTTCAGAATTGCATCCTTAAAGCATAAAAGTAATACAGGTTTCTGTTTCTAGTTTTAAATTAAGATGGTGATTTAGCTATATTCTTGTAGACTTCTACTGTATGTGTTAGTCCTGCTAGTCAGAATCATGTAAGTAAAAGCAATTTCTCTCACTGTTTTTTCAATTGTCAGACCGCAAATCAATAATTTATCAGTCTCTTGGATTCATATATATGAAAAGCATTCTACGGTATCACTTTTGTTTCTCAGCTCTTCAATTAAATATCTTATTTTTCATAGGTTGTGTGCATTTACATATGGATATACATTTTCCTTGATATTCAGTATTATTCTACATATTTTAAATAGGTTATTCTATGTCTCTGGAATAACTTACTCTGCAGATTCCTTAGGTGAGTTCTGTTCCAACAAGGTTTAATGACTACCTATATTAGGTTGAATGTATTTTCTTATTTTAAAATCTTACAGGATTTTGTTTAATTTTCTCCTGTATTCTTAACTATAAAATATAGATAACTAAGGCCATATGTAACATCTCATAATTCCTATGAGATGAAGCAATAACTATTATTCAAGTGACCTTAAGTTACTATCCAGAAAGTCAAACCTTTTCTAAGTCTGATAATTAGTTACCATTTTTCATATTGTTCTGCTTCCCAAATTCTAACCCTTAGTTAGAACCAGAGATATAATGTCAGGTTATAATTATAACAGTATCAATATGGGAACCAAGTTCTTCACTTAGTTCCTTTTCCTAGAAGTGTTCCACAGATCTCTGTTATCTCAATGATGGTAAAAATGGGTAAGTACATTTGCTGATTCATATCACTTCTAAAAATATATCAATCTCAAAATAAGTTCTATAGCATCTATAATCTGTGAAAATGATTTTCTAGTTTTGAAGATTGTTTCCCCCCCTTAAATATAAGAGATTTAAAAAATGGACGCTACTATTATAAAAATAATCTATGGTCCTTACGAAATTTTAAAAAGGCACATGTAAAAATAACAAAGTATGCCTAATAGAAAAAATTATACATAAAGTAAACTGTCTTCAACCTAATGCATATCTAAATCCTAAGGTTGAAATAAATGCCTACAGTTTAGATTAATATTACAATATAAAGTTACCATAAATCAGGAGAAAAAGTCTGTGAAACTGAATGTTTATTAATGTAGATCTTAGAAAGCTCACAGAATTGGCTATATTCTTTTTTTAAATGTGCATTTCTTTAATTTTTAAAAATATACACAGGAGAAGCCATGTGTTTTACATAGGAATACACACATCACAAAGCATTTCTTATAATTTTTCAAAACTCTTATTATATCAGTCTCAGAATTTTTTTTAAGTTAAATGAAATCCCTGAAACTACTAGATATGCTCAACTTTTTCCAAAATCAAATGAACAGAGAATGAGTATGGTGTGTGTTAAGTTGGGTTTATTGCCTATAATCTATAGAACTTTATCGTGCCTTTGCAAACAGGATACATCTCTTAGAAAACAGATCAGAATTGTCCATACATAGAGCTCTATATGATAGATTACAGTGCAACACTGGCTATATTCTTAATGATCCAAATGAAAAGAACTATTTAGAATAAAATTTAGCCTAAAGATTATTTATGATTCACTGTACCTAAAGTTACTGAGTAGTATATGGCAAATTTTCATAAAGAAGCAATTTGAGATCAACCAAATTTAAAATTTTGTCTGCAAAATTTATGTAAGTAAATTTTGCTTCAGTAGTTCATTTGAACATTTACTGAATTCCTTTTGTATAACAACTTCTGTGCCAAATTCTATATAAAGATTAAGTATTAGCTAGAAAATTCAGAATACTAAAACAACAAAACCCCAAAACAAATAAGATCTTAATTTAAAGGAAAACCAAAGGATAACATTTCTTGTAACTCTTCTCATTGCTTATAATCTCCTCAGAAAAGAGGTATATAATTTCCCTCCAAAATTGCTATTTGAACTTGTCTGCAATTCTTCTCTAATAATTAAAATCTACTGTTTTATAATTTTACATAACAATGCTTTTCTAATGCATAATCAAAGTGATTCTAACAACAACAAAAAGGATACAAAACTCTAAGGGAGCATATTTCTATATTCTGATAATGAGAGCAGGTAGTACTATATTAAAAAAAAAAACTAAAAAAGTCTATATATTAAAAACTCCCTAGCAAAAGTGACTGCCATAAAAATTACAAAAAGGAAAATATAATTGTGAGCAGGTAAATTTCAAATGACATGTAAAAAATGGAGTGTAAGAAAAACAAAAAGTATGTATTATAGAAATAAAAATCCCAAGTGTGTTATAAACAAGAAAAGCCTAAAAGCAATCTAAATCACACACCTCCTTATGCCAGAAGGGCACTACCACGAATCTCAAATTTATCTGAATAAGGTAGGTCTGTAGATGGAGGTTAAAAAATAACTTGGGAGTATTTTGATCACTTACTCAGGCCTTTTGATCCCATGTCGTCAGGGATCTCCTGTAGAGAGTAGTCCCCAGAGAGCAAGCAATAAAAAGATAATCAAAGAAAATAGTTGTCAGTAATACATAAAATTGGTGCTACAGTAAGAGACAGTTCCAAGACCATTACAGGTGCACATATGTTACAGAGCATTTTTATAGATTTCAGAAAGTTTGGAAATGAAATGAAATGTAATCTATAAAAGGATGGAAGTTTTAGTTTAGAGACTGATTAAGGCCGAGGTGCAAAATTCAAGGACATTTCTTGCTATTCTTAAAATAAAATTTACATTGTCTGCACATAATGAAGAAAGGGGATAAAATGGAATGATTCCAGATGACCTAATATTTAAAGATTGGTGAGGCCATACCTAGAAATCAGGTATCTATGTTTTTCTTCCAAAACATTATTTGAATGTCTGTTTTTTTTTTTAAAAAATAAGAACTCTTATTTCAAATAATTCTATTTATTTTTTTATAAACACATAATTCAAAAACACTGTTCCTAAGGTGCCAGAAAAGGTTAAGATTGGTATACAAATGAATTTATGCCTGTTAACATTTCCCCTGGTCAACACAATTAGTAACCTGTTGCAGCTCTTGAAACTGTCTCCATGGTAACAACCAACTGCAGGGCAGTAGGTCCCTCTACATTTATTTTCAGTTGACCACTGGATCCACATACTTACGGTCAGCATCACTTGTTTCCTGCTCACTCTGGTCCTTGTTCTTGTAGAAGGGAAATTTTCGGGAAAAGAGGTTCTTTTTACGCTTGTCATTGAATGACTGCTGAAGAAGAGAAGGAGGGGCAAAACAAAGGGATGTCTACTGTCTGTGTGTACAAAGGCCCAGCCTAGCAGCTCTGTGGAATCTGACTCCTGTGACCACAGTGTGCAGTTTGTATGAATTTTACTTAATCATATAAAAAATAAATTTCTAATTTTGTATAAACTCTTCTAATATTTTACAAATTAAAATATTAAAAAAATTTTAAAGAGCACAATTCAGTTATACCTTACAATAAGGAATGCTACTTGACAAAAAAAAAAAAAGGTAAAGAATAAATCAGATTACTATAATAGCATGAATCAAGCTAATATTTGTTTACATGAATCCATAAGTTTCGAGAAAAATATCCAAGTATGGTGCTAGGTGCCCTATTATAAAATTTATTTTTAATGTTAATTTGTTGCTCAACTTTTTTTTGCATGTGAGGTTGTAATCTTCATTTTACTTTGGACCACAGTTTTTCCCTTATCCCTTCCTTTGTGGCTATACTAACAGAAAGGCTACCATTGAAAAAAAGAAGTAAATGAAAAAATTGAGTAAGTTGCTAATGCTAAATACTTAAAAACACACAATCTCATTTTCTCTTTGGAGGAGGAAAAAGATAATTAAATGCTTATGGCATGAATTAGAAAATGGAAAGAAAACTAAAAGGTCCATCAGGCATACATACAGAGTCCAAAAGAAGATTTTTCACTGTTATCTTAGCCAAGGAAGGGTCAAGACTCTTGGCCAACTTGAACATTGTTACAACTGATTTACTTGTTTTTAAGCTGCACTGCACTTATCTATTTTGAAAAGTATATATAAATAAATAAAATAGAACCACATTCAGTCCATTGGCACCATACTCTGCATAGAGAATAAAAAGGTTAGTGCCTGTCAAGGTCACAAAGAAAATTAAAGATTTTAATAGTCTATTAGATAATTGCTATGAGAGAACTGAGCAACTGATTTAATATTCTTCACTGCCCACAGAAGGATGATGAGGCTATTAAAGAGAAATGGCTTCTTTTGTAATTTCTCTGCAATAGGCATTCATGTTTAAAAGAAAAATGTCCTAACTTACCAGTGACAATATAACTTATTGTTATTATTATTATTTGAGAGTGGAGGGAATAATATAAAGGACATAATATTTTTTCACTTTTTTTTTTTTTTTGGTGGTGCTAGGGATTGAACTAATGGTCTCACACATGCTAGTGTTCTATCATAAGGCTATACCTCCAGCTCCAAAAGGATACAAATTTTGTTCTCATTTTTCTTGAGTTTATTCATGTCATAAGATGCTACATTAGATTACCCCTATTTGCAATTCTGCTTTTTGTGATTGGATAATTTCAGAAACAAATGGTTCTAAGTGTTAAATTGTACATTGATTTGAGTAGCATGATGAAATCTCATGCTACCCTGCTCTGCCCTGCCCAGGGTGTGTTCAGTATCTATCTTGGTTAGCAGATTCACTGTCTCGGTGTCATAGTGCTTGTGTTCAAGTAACCCTTATTTTATTTAATAATGGCCTCAAAGCACAAGAGTAGTTATGCTGGCAGTTTGATTACAATATAATGTTATAATTATTCTATTATTTTTACATATTTGTTGTTAATCTCCTACTGTGCCTAATTTATAAATTAAACTTTACTTATAGGTATGAATCTATAGAAAAACCACAGTAGATGTAGAGTTTGGTACAATCCATGGTTTTAGGCATCCACAAGGGAGTCTTGGAATATATTCTTCATGGACAAGGTGGGGAGACTACTGCACATAACTGTTTTAAAGTATATCAATGCCAGGCAATAGGTTTTGGGCATTCCCTTTTTTTGAAGCATGTGATGCTGGCAATTAAGGTACTAAAGTTAGTTAAAGTAATTTTTAGCTTCAATTATAATGGGAGAATTATGAAAAGAAACTTTACAAAAACAAGGTTAAGCTTTCATTTTTACCTTTTCACATAATAAAATTCACGATTAATTCAATCATTAGCCAAGCAGACTACCTTAAATTTTCAATCTTAAAACTTTTTGTATTTTTATTTTTTAGTTGTTAATGTACATTTTATTTATTTATTTATATGTGGTGCTGAGAATTGAGCCCAGTGCCTCACAACCCCAGCCCCTCAATCTTAAATTTTGAAGGCTCTGAGGAACTAGATTAAAAACTCTAAGCAGAGGTAAAAAATAATGAGAAAAACCACCATGGATAAATCTGGACTTATAACATTTTTATAAATGGTCAAGTAGCATCAACTGAATAAAAATTTTCCCTTGAAATTTTAGAAAGGAGAGAAGAAAATGTAAGTTTTAGTAGAGAACAATTTGTGTGTAAACTAATTAAGGAAAACTCTAAGTCTTTTTATTCCAAAGAATCACTGTTTTTGAATTTAGTAGTAACATTCATGGTATCTAATGAAATTGAAAATGTTTTTAATAAAAGGTCATTTACTCCTCCTACTGCATATATAGTGGTCAGAGTCAGTTTCACAGTACACAACCAAAAGAAACATGAAGTTTAAAATGTTTTGATTTTTGATATCTTTGCAGTTAGCCAAAATGAGATATCAATAAGATATTGTAATATGATAGAAAGAGTGCTTGTTAGTTAAGAAATGTATTAAATGTATTACATTTAATATCGTCCAGGTGAAGAATTTATTAAAAGTGAAAACAAAAATAGCATAAGCAAACAAGACAAAAATGTGTGAGGAAAACACAAAACTGAAGAGACAAACTACCTCCAGGTTTTCTATATTTTCAATAAAAATACTATGTTTAATTATTTGTTGTCACTGATGTTGTATTGCAAGAGTGCAATAAACATAAGAACTGAAAACATCACAAATTTATGATATATATATTAAGTATCTAAATATATAATTTCCATGTATATTTCAAAATAGCCAAATCCATTAAAAAGTGTTAAGGAGAAACTGAAATATTATTAATTCTGCAGTGAAAATAAAGTCCACAAATTACCATGTAAGGAAAGGAAAAGGAAGAAAAGGAATGGTATTACAGAAAGAAATGCAGTTCTGTATCAATGGCAAGCGTATTTTTACCCCACTCAGTATCATGCATATTTTTGGTGCTGTGTTAGAACACAGTGATTGTGTATCAAGTTGGTTACAGTCAACAAACAAGACTAAGATATAAATATATCGTTAATTTAGTATGAAAGAAAAGCTACAACATGCAATCTTTTTCAATTAAGTGTAGTGTACTAAATTATTTTTAAAGACATATATAAAACAAGCACAAAAAGCACTGTATTTATTTCACATCCTAAGCAGTTACTTGGGATTTTTTCCTCCTATAAAATTTTCTTTTTTAAATACTGAAAATTGTGGTTTCTGAAAGGTACAAGTTACTTTTAAAGGAATTTATTTCTTTCAAAAAATCTGAATATATTATTGAATTTACTCAGATTTAATTTTGTGGACCAAACACAATATTTCTTATATTTTAAAATTTTATGTTTGAGTGCTTAGTGATTGGTAACAGAGTTGTATAGAGGGTAAATTTATTTTGCTGTGTTAACTTTTCAAATATCATCAAATATTTATTTTAGAGTAAAAACAACAACAACAAAAAGACCCCTCCAACACATAAAACCAATTGCTATGAAAAGTATTTCAACACAACTTGTTCAGCTCTTTGTTCAGGCTTATTTTTAGAAGATTTCTTGCAGTGAGTTCAGGATAATCAGGAATTACAATCAACGTAGTATAAGTGAAATTGATATTTTCTCATCCACTGGCATCCAAAATTTTTATACTCAAGCACAGTATAAAAATGAAAAATACATATCTATAAATAAATATATATATCTAAAGATATGTAAATATGTATTTATATATCTTAAATATGTAAATATACTTACACATCTTTATATATGTAAAAATTGATGCATTTCTTTTCTATCTACAAAACATTTTTGACTTTCATTATTCCCTCCAAATAAATATTCATGTTGATTCCATCATTTAAAACATGAATTCTATTGAGAAATTATTTCTACAATGACGAGAGTTCAGAGAACAAGAAGATTTTCATGAATTCACTTGCAAGAACTTATAAACTTCTTAACAGTTGATATTTTGAAGGCACCTATAGTATAGAGGAGTCAATATTAAACTAGCTTTCACTATTAGTAGTGATAATATAATCCATTTCATTTATAAAAATAACCCTGATCAAAAGTATGTTGCTAAGAATATATCAAATGGTAGTTTTGATTATTTGGAAATGTCTGTGAAACGGGTACTTTAATAAATGCTCACTATTATTGTAAAGCACCTGGAAAGAGCTGCTTATAGTTAATTCTAAGGTAAAATCTTTCTTAACAATCTAGCTCAAATGATAATTATGAAAAAGTATACTGTCCTCATTTATTTTCAAAAATAAGAGATTTCATATACTCACCCCTTTATCTCCTCTTGTTTTAGAATTGAATTTTACTGTTTTTAAACGGGCTCTTTCTTTCTTCTCAACTCTGTCAAAGTACAGAAGATTATTTATTTAGGTGCTAGGGATTGAATTTAGGGCCTTAAGCAGGCTCTATCATTGAGGTACATCCTGGCTCCCAGGGTTTTTTTTTTTTTTTTTTAAGACAGGGTCTTCTCCATGTTGCCCAGTTTGGCTTGGAACTTACCATCCTCCTGCCTCCACCTTCCAAAGTAGCTGGCATTATAGGTATGCCCCATCACATTTAACTAGAATGTTATTTTTTTTTTTAAGTAAACCAAATGTATCTAGGAATCTTACTAGAAATCATAGATCTGATAGCTCTATAATGAATATTTTTATATGCTAAAATCTCTAGGAGTCATATAAGCTTACATACCAAAATTAATTAGAATTGCAGAAAAACGAAATATAGAGCTCATTTAATAAAATACAACACACTTATGGAATACCAAAATAAAGTGTATATGTGTAAACTTACACATGCACTAAATTTCATAACTATATTTAAAATATTATGAGGCAACATTACTGAATGTAGCAATTTTTCAGGTTTTCTTTCTCCTTCTTTCCTTGCTTCCTTTTCTTTCTTTTATGATACAGGAGTGCTTTACCACTGAGCTACATCCTTGGCCATTTTTATTTTGGAATAAGGTCTTTTCGCTGCCCAGGTTGGCTTTGAACTTGTGATCCTTCTGCCTCAGCCTCCCATGTCATTGGGATTACAGGATGTACCATGTGCCCAGCTGGTTTAGTCTTTTAAAGAAATATGTTATGTGCATGTATGATTATATCACAGTGAATCCCACTATTAAGTATAATTGTAATGTACCAATAAAAGATGAAAAAAATATTAGCGTAGGACACCAATGCTACAAATTAAGACTGAGAAAGCAAATGTGGCAAAACTTAACATTTGGTGTGTGGATGTTCACTGTACTATTCTTGCAATTTTTTGTACTTACTTTTCTGAAACTTAGAAAAATAAGCGAGAAACATAAAAATTAAGCTTAATTTCAGTGATGTATATGTGCATATATATAAAGTTGCTAGTTAGAGTGTAAAAAATAAGTTTTACAGTATTTTTTGAGGGATATAGAAGAACTGGTAACTCTCCTTATTCCTGTAAGGTGAAAATTTATTGTAAATTCTAACATCAATACAATCTTGCAAAGTTTGATTTAAAGTATGTTTTTATAAATCCTTAGATTTTTAACACGCAATTATGCTAACATACTGCAGAAAAACCTACTCAAACAGCATATGAATAAATATATCTAGCTATATAGTTTTATCACAGTTAGAGCAGAGCCTTGGCATTCATAGACTTACAACTTATGTTCTTTACTATTCCAGAGCAATCTTGAGGGTCCATGACATGCAAAATTTATAATATCTAAGTATTTGCTGAGGGCACAACAAAATTACCATTTAGTTGGTAAGTATTTACCATTCAAAATGGCTTTGTTTCTTAACTATTGTTTGTTCAGTAAATAGTTGAGTGACTTAAAAGGTGTTTATTTCTTTACTGAATTTAGCAATTTTCAGGTTTTCTTTCTCTGAAAGATTTCTTTCCCTGAAAGTAAGTCAAGAATTGAAGTAATTACAATTCTTAGAAGTAAAGAAGTCTAAGTAGGAGACAATTCAATTTAAGGAAAAACAAGTTTAGAATATATTCATGAATGAAATAGCCTAGTTAGTTGTAGTTTCATACTATATTTTGCGGGAGAAAAATTATATTCTGTAATGCTACTCATGAATTTGGGGACTGGTAGGGTCTCAAGATATATCTCTTATAGTAATTTTTAATTCTCTTTTCATCAAACATTGGCTGCAGGTACATGGAGAGCCTTTGTGAGATATGAGGTTCCAAGGGATAAGAAAATTTTTAGGAACTCTGACCTTAACATTTAAGATATGAGGTTTCTACTGACTCAAGAATGTAGGGAGGAGGCATTTTTGAATTTTAAGCGGAAAATATTCTATTTTGGGAAAAAGTTACATTAAGGGGCTGCATTGCTAAAAGAGAATTTGCCATCAAACATAAGATTGCACATAGATGGATCTTGCTAAGTATGGGGATCTACCCAATAAGTTATAAACCAACCCTAAAACCACAATTATAAAATCTTTAATAATTAAATTAAAGATTAATTACTTTAAATTAAATACTTTAATAATACTATTCTTGGGCTAGGGATGAGTGTAGCTCAGTGATAGAGCACTTGTCTAGTATGCATGATGCCCAAAGTTTTATCCCCAGCACCACAAGAACAGATTAATACTACTTTTTTGTACAAAATATAGAAAGAGGTTTATAGATGGTTTATAAATAATTTGTATATTTACCAATTATAGTGATTCCAACAAAATATAAATTCAACTCAATAAGAAAAAGCATGTTCTTTAAAAAAAATATTTTGTTTTTGTTTTAGTTTGAAACAATACCTTTATTCATTTTTATTGGTGCTGAGGACAGAACCCAACACCCGGCATGTGCTAGGCGAGTGCTCCACTGCTGAGTCACAACCCCAGCCCCCCAAAAGTATGTTTATTACATCATAAGCTTTATCTCAAATCAATTAACTATAACAGACATTCTTATTTTTGCTGGCTATCTTAAAACTATCTTGGAGGAATTATAAGCTGCCATTTTAATACTTTGCTTACAAAAGTACAGACAGTCAACATTTCAGAGACCTTATAAGGTACTCTAAACTGGGATCATACTTTTTTTTTTTTTAATTTGTTCTAAAAAGTTACATGTGATAGCAGAATGCATTTCAATTTATTGTACACAAATGGATCACAACCTCTCATTTCTCTGGCTGTATATGACGAAGAGTCACACGGTTCATGCAATCATACATATACATATATATATATAGAGAGAGAGTAATAATGTTCATTGCATTCCACCATCCTTCTCACCCCCACACCCCCTCCCCTCCCCTCACTCCCTCCTGCCTAATTCAAAGTTTGTCCATTCTTCTCTAGGCCCCTCCCCCCAATTATGGATCATATTAAAGACATTTGTATATAATCACTTTTGCCACTAGATGGTAAACATGCATTAATGAATCACAAAAATAAAGAACAAAGACAGTACCAACAGGTCTAAGTTAATCAAGAAAAAGGAGAAGTGAAGTATCCCACTAAATATTTCTTTAAAATTTGCAGGGGCTGGGGATGTGGCTCAAGCGGTAGCGCGCCATGCCTGGCATGCGTGCGGCCCGGGTTCGATCCTCAGCACCACATACCAACAAAGATGTTGTGTCCGCCGAGAACTAAAAAATAAATATTAAAAATTCTCTCTCTCTCTCTCTCTCCCCCCTCTCTCACTCTCTCTTAAAAAAAAATTTGCATATAATTCTATTAAATCTAAAGGAGGCAATGTACACAATCAAAAGCTTAAAAAATGTAAGTCCTATTACCCCTTAACATAGGAAAACTACAGACACTTTTAATTCTGTCTCCTTTTACTGGTATAGACACATGGCATAGTAACACAAGAGTTATTTATTTTTTTAGCAACCAGGAGGAACTTTAAAGAGATCTGTTTGGAGGCATCATATCTTCTAATTATGCCATTGGTTACAATTCAATGTGAATAAAATTAAATGGTTGTGAAGCACAATATTGGAAAACAAAGTATAAAATCAACACTTCAATAAAAGAAATTTATTCAGTTGTCTTGGTGTTTTAAAAATCTAATTATGCATATTTAAGGCACACAATTTGATTTGACAGACAAACATTGTAAAATAATCATTACAGTTAAGCTAATTAAAAAATCTATTACTTAGTTATCTTTTTTTGGATTGCTGATGATGTTAAAGTGCACTTGGGATCTACCTATTGAGCAAAATTCAAGAATACAGTACAGTATTGTTACTTGTGGCTTGCCATCGTATACATAAGATTTCTGGTATTTGCTCTTTGTGTCTCTTGACCAACATCTTCCCATTCTTCGTTCCCCTAACCCCTAGTGACCACCACTCTAATGTCTGAGTTTGCTATTTAAGATTTCATATACAAATGAGATTATCCAATATTTGTCTTCACGTGTCTAGTTAATTTCACTTAGCATAATGTCTTCCAGGTCCATCCATATTATACAGTAAAAGAAATGTAAAGAAACAGCAATTTTTTATGTTATTTATGCCCTACTTTCAAGTGGTAAAAACAAACAAACAAACAAACAAACAAACAAACAACATATTTACCTGCGTTTACTGGGAATCACTCCAACTTCATCACTTTCACCATCTGGTGTAACCTGTCTGGCTTGCCACCACTCATCATCAGAAGCATTAATAACATGGAGGATATCTCCAAATTTGAAGTTCAGTCCCTGACTGGGAAGGCCACTGTCTTTAGTCTTGTCATAATCAAAAAGGGCTCTAGATTCAGAAGAAGAAAAGCCCATAATTATTTATTATTGTGGTATTAATCAATTTTAAATAAATATAGGATTCTCAAAGTATATATAACTTGGATAATTAAACTAGTATTATACTATAGTAGGCAAGATAATGCCAAGATCAATATTGTACTATATGCACAAGAAAATGAGACAAAACAAGTATCAAATCAACTTGTTATGGAAATAGTTTATTAGATATGTTACCTATTTCTTTCAATATTGTAGGAGAAATAGTTTTCTTTTTTTTAAATGTGACTTTTAGAAAATTAAAACCAATATTATTATATTATAATATATTATGTTTCTTTTGGACAGTGCTCGTATAGATGAATTAGCAGGTGCTTTGGAATCAGACTTGAGGGCTTGAGTGGTATGTCCTCTACTTATTGGAGTTATATTGTAGTTTCTGTATTTGCTTTTACTTTGGGCAGTTTATTTGATTCTCCTGAGGCTTTTCTTATCTATCAAACAGGGCTAATGATATTTTGTAGAGTTGTTCTGAGGATTAGATCAAATTTGGTAAAATGTGTACAAGAAATTTAAAAAATGCTTTTGACTGTGTTGACACATCTATTTGGGAGGCTGAGGCAGGAGAATTGCTTGAGCCCAGGAGTTTGGGGCTAGTCTGGAAAATGTAGTGAGACTCCATTTCATAACCAAACCAAACCAAAAGAAACCAATACCCAAACCAAAAAATGCTGTAAGTAAAATCCAATGGCAACCCATACTGAATTCCAAAATAGAGACAAATCTATAGAGTTGTTCTAAAATAATAGAAAGTAAACATTAAGAGATACTCTTCTGTTTACTTTAACTAGACACCTTAAAACAAATTCCCTGATAAATTTGATCCAATAGTTGTGAACTAAAAGACTAAATCAAAATTGTGATTATTCCATTAATCATTCCTTCTTCCATTTGTTCACAAAACAAGAATGAAAAATACAAATGAATATATCAGCTGCCGAATATTTTGGAAAAAATGATTTATTACTTTGGCAATTACAAAATGTTAAGAATATTGAAAATTTTGATAAAAATATTGTGAGCTGTCACTTGATTAATTTGTGTACAATATATAAACAAATTTAATTTTTAAATTCAAATAAATTCTCTTTAGAGTACAAGAAAGGGCTGAGGTTGTAGCTTAGTGGTAGCGTACATGTCCTAGGTTCAATCCTGAGTACTGCTAAAACTGACAAAAAAATGAACAAATAAAGAGAATAAGAAAGAATTCCAATAATTACATTTTAAATACTATTTATTTATTCTTTTATTCCAATTTGATAATCATAAATGAGGATACAAATCCTACTCTTTTTTCATTCTACCCAACTTTTTTTAAATTCTTCTGTGATGCTAGACAATTAAACCAGGGCTTTGCAAATGCGAGGCAAACATTCTAACACTGAGCCATATCCACAGCCTTCCATGCTACTCAATTTTTAGAAACTTTTCTCCTGAAGTAAAATCTGATGAGAGATGGAGTTACATGATGGAGTTAATGAATGAACTGGCAATTCATGTTTTTCAAATGTGATCTTTCCTTTCAAGGCTAATGGTCTCAAAGAAGTATGTGGAAGTTAAGTGGGATGGCTTACTTAACATGTAAGAAAATATTTAGAAGATGAGGATACAAATCAACATATTATAAAATAAAAAATAAAGTACCTCAATAGAACAAAGTCAAAAGACATTCAGAAAAGGGAAAATATTATCTCAACATTTTAGTAAAAAATTCAACTTTTGAATCACAAAATAGAAGTATATTACTGATGAATAAATGGTCAAAAGAAATCATCCACAATCTCTATTCTGTTAGCACTATCTTTTGTCATATTTGATTCATTAAAAAAATAAATGCATGGAATACATGAGTTATTAATTGTAAGAGTATAATGAACACTTTGACCATTACCAATAATTTACTTACCTATATATTCTCTCTCTGATCCTTCTCCCTTGGATCAAGAGTTAATCATCATTATAAAGTTTTATATCATTATTATAAAGTTTTGAAACCACTGTTTTGAATACAGTGTTTATTAATTTTCTTGATCCTTTTTGCTATTGTTGTTGTTGTTGCTTTAGTTTTATCACATGTTGTCCCATTGTCTCAGACGTGGGACATATACATATATGAAAAAATATAAAGGCTATATGAGCTCTATATTATGATTTCCAATATATTTTAATGAACTTGTTCTAACTTTGTTGAAATATTTACAGAACTGAAAACTTTGGACTTATTGGGTTGAAACATTATAATGGTTTAGTTTGTTTCAGAGATTTATAAAAAGGCATCAACTATGATCTTTCATAGCCTTGTTTTTATTTTTTGAAAGTAAAGAACCATGAACCTCTGGTTAACTGTGGCAGACTGCCTATATTTGTTTATTTCCTTTCCATCTTGAAACTCATTATAATGACAATGAAAAATAAAAATACAAAAGAGGACAATAGGAGAAAAGAGATTTTAATAATATTTTTGGATGATACCTATGCTTAGCAGACTAAGAGAAGCTATAACTAGGGTACCTGAAGAAAGGGATACTGAAACAAGATTTATTCCATAAGAACTTTAGACATGTTCAAAAATTAGAGGTGTACAGTATCCAGGTAAGTGGGGATAAGTTATACTACTGAAAACAGAAGGTGGAAACTTTATATAGCCATTAGATCTTTCAGGCCCCTTTTCCCATTTCTAGTCCTATAGAAGACCAGAGGTTTAATCTTAGAGAAACTTGAGTCTGAGAAGCTAGGAGCTGTGGAACTTGGAGGGGTGTAGGAAGAAGTTAGATTGAAAACAAGTGAATGAACAGGAAATCCATATACTGAAAAAGAAAATTCTAGCAATCTGGTTTATATTGCTGACAGGAGATTAAACCCTCTAGTTTCATTCTCTGTTCTTAAGAATGGAAAACAAGGATCACTGAATAGTTAAAGAATACCTCACATATAAAAAACTAAAGAAAATAGTTTAAACTAACTATAAAATAAAAACACAGAGAATACTAGAAATATAAAACCTCAGAAAAACATTAGTTATCACGTTTATGAAATAAAAAAATGACAAAAAGGAACAATCAGATAACAAGAAGGAACTCTTGGAAAATAGAACAGGATATTACCCCTCCCCACTAAATTCTAATTGAGAGAGCAGAAAAGAGTCACTTTCAGACATGCTAAGACTCAAAAAACAAAACAAACAAACAAACAAACAAATAAATAAATAAATACCTCCCACCCAATCTTTTCTCAGGAATTTACTAGAGAATCACTTTAGGAAAACAAAAGAAAATTAAGAAGAAAATGTGACATGCAAGAAATATATCCTGATAGAGTAAAGAGGCAAAGGGAACAGGGTAATGGCAAAGGGAGGTCCTTTTTGAGAATGTACAGCCAGTCTACAGAGCAACTACTGGAGCATAAAAATGGGAAGAAACTCCATCTGATTAAGACCATTTATGTGTCCACATGTTGTGAAAAACTGTAGAGGCTTATTTAGACACATGGCTCTCAATACTATTAATTTTATTGACAGTGATAGGGATTATGTGTGGGTCATATAATAAGAGGCAGAATGAATGGTGTGGTAGGGGAACACAATGGCAGTAAGTCCATAATGTTTAAAGTAGAAAACAGTAATATATACATGTTATTTAGAAATTAAGAGGCAAAGGCAAGGGAGTTTGCTTTGAAAATGGAAGATAACTGTTTTAAGAGAATGAAACTAGAGGCTGGTAGGAGATGACTAAGGCTTTTTGATAACATACGAACTTTAAAATTAGAGTGTTACATCTTTAAAAAATTAATAAAAATGGCCAGGTATGGTGGTGCACACCTATAATCCCAGCAGCTCAGGAGGCTAGGCAGGAGGATCACAAATTAAAAGTCAGCTTCAACAACTTAGTGAGACCCTGTCTCAAACTAAAAAGTTAAAAAAGTCTGGGGGTATGGCATGGTGGTTAAGTGCCCCTGGGTTCAATCCTTGGTATAAACAAACAAACAAACAAACAAACAAACAAACAAACAAACAAACAAACTCCAAACAAGTGTATAAAATGTTTTTCTTTTTGTTTAAGTATTTCATAAATCACCAGGGGTGCTTTACCACTGAACTAACTCCCCCCTCCCCAAAAACAAAACAAAACAAAACACAGCCCTTTAAATTTTGGGACAGGTTCTAAGTTACAGAGGCTGGTCTCAAACTTGTGATTCTCCTGTCTCATTTCCCTAATAGCTGGGATAACAAGCTTGTACTACTGCCCCTAGCACTTATTATTTTCATTTGCTCTCTTTACTTTTAAAGAAACTGCCAAGGTAATTTATAAGTTACTCAAATGGAATATATCCTATTATAAATGAAACAAGTAAATCTAAGTGTGGTATAATATGTCAGGTTTGTATTCCTAAAATACCAATCTAAAAATACTTCCAAGTTCACATTTCTCTTGTCTTTCTCATGATTATTCAAAGGGTTACATAACTTTCACTAATGAAATTATAATATTCTAACTCTTCATAGATACACTGTCAGAAAAATCAATCATTAAAAAACATTTCACTAACTTGTAATATATTTTTTATAGTAAAACTTCTTAAGTCAGTGGAAAATACCGAAAGAATCTGCATGCATAGATAATTAAAGATTGCTATAATTAGAAGTAAAACATTTACCTGACATAGAGGGATCGCTTCTGGCTAGTTCGTAGAGAACCTGACCCTGAACTAATACTACTATTCATCATCTGCTCCCGTAAGTCATGTATTTTAGCTTCAAAACGACTGTACTCTGAAGGAAGGAAAAGAGAAATAATTTTATTTTATAGTCTCAAAAAAATAAGTTACCTAAAGATAAAGTGCTAAATGTTTAAGCTGTTTCAAAATAGATTAAATGTGGTTAGAATTTAAAATAATAAAATGCATAAGATTTTGTTCAACATGAAAACTTAAAAAATTATGAGCTTCTTAATGTGTCAGAAATTAAACTGCCTTAGAATTTTTCTACATTCATACAATATTTAATCAGTTAATGCAATTCCATGAATCAAACAGCACTATCAACCTTACCTTACTGTCTAAATTAAGTGCATATGTTAAAAACCAGAATTTATTCTAATTTGTCTTAAAAAAGCTATAATAATTAATGGACTAGATGCTTTGATTACTAACCTTTAATAGTTAATCTTATATTCTTAAACAGAACTTATGCAAGATCAATAATAAAAATATGCTTTAACAAACTGATAAATTTTAACTAATTTAATAATTCATAAATTATCAAATGTCAAAATAAGATGCAAAAAAATCTGAAATAACATTCCTAAATATTTTTAACACATTTTTATATAAAAGAATAATTTTGAAAATGGACTACTTTAAACTATTAAGAACTACTCAATCTTTAACAAAAACTTGTAGCACTTTTAAAAAAAATTATTGCAATTACAAAGTTGTACACATTTATGTCTTTTCTTTTAAATCAATGTTATATCAAACTTGATTTTCTTATAAACCTAGTCTTAGAACAAACAATTTGCTTGTGAGTTATATAGCTTAAGAAGACAGAGTAAGAATAAATACTGCTGGGTCACTCTTCCTTTCATCATTGTCATATCATGTTTTTTAATGGATATTATGATTAACTGAGGCAACCAATTATTAAAAAACTCACATTACTATGTAACTATCATGACAAATCTTCTTTATTATATGTTGACACAGCTAAGATTTACAGATAGATATATAGGCCACGGGAGATATGTTTTGAGTTCTGCCCCCTCTCTCCTCTGCAGAGGCTCACAATCATTGAGCTACATCCCCTGCCATTTTTATTTTTAATTTTGAAACAAAGTCGTACAAAGTTTCCCAGGTTGGCCCTGGACTTGTGATCAGCCTTCTGAGTAGCTGAAACTATAGGCAGAAACACCATGCCTGGCTGAATTACTGTTTTAGTCACTTGGAATAATTCTTCCTTGGGTGTTAAGGCTGCCAAATGGATACACATTAAGGTTCATTTGTTTCTTTTTACTTTAAACTTCAATTTTTAGGGGCTGCTTTTAAAATTTTTTTTTTGTAAGTAAGTGAAATAAGTCAAAAGTCAAATCTTACAGCAAAAAGAATATTAAAAAGGATGTCCAGGGCTGGGGTTTGGCTCAGTGGTAGAATGTTTGCCTAGATTGTGTGAGGCCCTGGGTTTGAGTCTCAGCACCACATATACATAAAATAAAGGTCTACTGACAATTAAAAAAATATTT